TGAAATAAATGAACTTTTGCACGATATTCAAATTTTTTGAGTTTCACCTGTATACTTTATTGATTGGACCTTTTTTTTTTATATCACTTTTTTGATCTATATTTATCGGTTCATATGGGATGTATGAATTGACATGCGGAGTGACTTTCTTTGAACATACTGTATATCCTGTATTGATGATTTTTTCATGTATAAGGCACTTTTATTTAGTATGATTTAGAGCTGTACTATTCTTTTCTCTGTACAATTTTATAAGGTTGGTGTGTCACTTTTTTGGTGCTAGCATCTTTTTTTTCAGAAACGCTCACTTATATATATTTTTTAGTGTTTCCATTGTTTGACATACATAGGAATACCGCCTGTGCACACATATGCCGGTCCTAAATATCTGGCGGAGGCCTGCTGCACATCTGTGCTCGTGTGGAATATCTGAAGATGGCAAGACAGAAGAGGAGTGGAGGGAGGAGAATATCGCCAGGGTAAACATGCTCCTTAAAATGCAATGTTTTACTTCGCAGGCTAGTGCAGTGCTGGCTCCAGGAAGCAGCAGAGAGAAGCACATTTGAACGTTTTGCACTGTTTTTTTATTCCAGCATGCATTGCTGTGCATTGACATGCAGTGCCATCCAGTGCAGTGTAGAAAAATGCAGACGTGTTGCATTTTTCCACACTGCACGTCACACCAGTGTAAGGTTAGGTTTACCCCCCATGCAGGTTATGATTTATGCATTTTCCCGGCACATTTTTGATGCATTCTTTAATATATTTTAATGCATTTTGAATTTTTGGGATGTGGTAAGTTGTTAGGAGGAGATGTCTGTTGTCATGCAGGAAAAAAACACCAAAAAATGCAAGTACATGCGTTTTTCATGCATTTTTGATGCAATTCCATTGAAGTCTTTGGAGACAAAAAAAAACACTCTGCTGTGTGTAAAAAAAGGTGGAAACTACATAAATGTGGAAATGACCCATAATGTTAAATGGACTGTAGTGCGTTTCTGCAAAGCCATAGCCTAAACCCTGGTTCACACCTGTGCGGGTTTGCAGCCCATGTTTGTGCAGGCGAGGCAACCTATTCATTTGAATGTGCTGCTGTGCCTACGTTTCCTGCAGAAAAAGGTGCATGCACTTTTTTCAAAACTAAGCTTTTGCACCATGTGATTACCGGTTCCCACACCCCCAAACCAGCTGCGGGTCAAGATGCGTGGAGGTGTCATTAAGAATGGCAGCCCTGCTTGTCTCTACAGAGCAGCAGATGCAGGAACTGCTGCGATTCCCGCACAGGTGTGAACTGGGCCTAAGGCTAGGTTCATGCTACAGTGAACTCCCCTCAGCCATGTTTTCACATGTACAGCAGCCCTTTCATTTGATTGGGCTGCTGTACCTGCAGGAAAAAGTCTCTGCACCTCTACTAAAAATCGCAGCCACATCAGGGTTGCCAAACCATCAGTAAATTTACAGTTTGTGAACATCAGTGTGTAAAGCCCCTCTAGATAGCCATGGGGAGCCAAGCAGGAGGCTTAGCATGGGGACAGGGAAGCCTTTGAATGTGTTAGAGCCTGCTCAGCAGCAGGAGAGTTTGTGTAGAAGATGTAGTGAGAAGGCTGAGGTGCAGGAGACTGGGAGGGGGTCCTGTTGGAAAGGGGCCCACCTCCAGGCAGTGATGCTGGAAAGGAGGAAAGCTCAGATCTCATCAGCCTCCAGAGCAAGGACCACCCATGGAGCAGGGAAGGAACTAGCCCAGTGGAAGGCCTGCAAGAAGCTACCAACCCACCAGCTCATAGGAACAGGACTGAGTAATCCTACACCCCCCTGGGCCAGTTAAATGGGAAAGGAACACCCTGGTGGAGAACCTGATTAACTCCTTATCCAGGACTGTTGATCCTAAAGAGGCAGGCACTGGATTCCCTTGCTCAAGGATTCCTTCAGACAGCAGGATAGAGGAGGATCATCTGGGGTCTGGGGAGGTACACCATGAGAGGCTGAAGAGCTCTCCAAGAAGAGATTTTGCTGTGTAAAGACTTGAACATAGTTCCAGGAAGTTGTCCTCAGTTGCAGTTCCCTTACCCCATCCAAGTTCAAACACCCCTAATAAAACTAAAAAAAAAAACCAAGCTCAATGACTGGTTACTGTCTCCTGATGCAAGTCTGTGAGGAATGCATGTTGCCTAAATGTGCAGGGCTATAGGGGGACCCAAAACTTCAGCGACTCCTAAGGGGGTAGTGCTACAAGTGCTTTTTACAACTTTCTGTTTATATCAAGGGCTGATAATTTGTCACGCTGTGTTGACTTTTATAAGTGTTAATTAGTCAACCTACTTGTTATGGATATTGTCAGTGTTTGAATATTTATACTGTTTGTCTTATATTGATTATCTTCATTTTTAATGTCATTTTTCAGGTTGTCAATAAAAAAAGATGTGTTCCGTCAGTAAATATTTTCATGTTTTGACACTAAAAAATGCTGCGGGGAGTTGGCAACACTGAGCCACATGGAACTGAAGAGTGTTTTCAATATGTAGAGGTGTCACTAACCACTCTACTATTGCACTATAGCCGAATGACAGCTACAGCACGATAGTCCAGTTCTGGGAGGGCGTCATATGACATCCTCCCAGAATGCGCCCCCAGCGGTGCGCACCCGGCATTGTCTGTGATCACTGTGTCCTTTGGACACCGCTGATCTCATGACATGGTAAAAGGTCAATCACAGCGGTTTTTTGCCACGTGATCAGCTGTGTCCAATCACAGCTGACCACCATGTACATACACTTGCTGGTTATCGGCAGTACTGTGATAGCGTGAGGAAAGTACTGCTGATAACAGACAACTGTCAAAGCAGACATCTACATCCCTGATCAGTGCAGCCTCAAAAGTGCCCAACAGTGCTGCCCATCAGTGCCCAGCAGCAGTACTGCCATCAATGCTGACCATAAGTGCCCAACAGTGCTGCTAATCAGTTCTCAACAGTGCTGCCAATCTGTGCCCGTCAGTGCAGCCAGTCATTGCTGCAGGCTGCAGTCAGTGCCTTTCAGTGCTACCTATCAGTGCCCATCAGTGCTGCATATCAGTGCATCATCAGAACCTCCTCATTAACGCCCACCAGTGCTGCTTCATCAGTGCTGCCCCATCAGTGCAGCCTATCAGTACCCATCACTGCCGCCTATCAGTGCCCATTAGTGCTGCATATCAGTGCAGCATCATCAGTACCTCCTCATCAATGCCCACCAGTGCTGCCTATCAGTGCCACCTCATCAATGCCCATCAGTGAAGCAGAAAAATTACCTGTTTGCAAAATGTTATAATAGAAACAAAGAAAACTTTTTTTCTTCAAAATGTTTGCTTTTTTTCATTTGGAGGCCACTGACATTTTTTTCCCTACTCATCTTTTCTGACTGTTTTTCACTAGTTTTGCATTTGGCTAGGGTCAGTGTCACTACTGGCAGCATGAGGCGATACCTGGACTCTACAGAGGTTGCACAGGCAGTCCACCTCCTCCAGGATGACACATCAATATGCGCCATTGCCAGAAGGTTTCCTGTGTCTCCCAGCACAGTCTCAAGAGCATGGAGGAGATTCCAGGAGACAGGCAGATACACTAGGAGATCAGGACAGGGCTGTAGAAGGTCCTTAACCCATCAGCAGGACCGATATCTGCTCCTTTATGCAAGGAGGAACAGGATGAGCACTGCCAGAGCCCTACAGAATCACCTCCAGCAAACCACTGGTGTGAATGTCTCTGATGAAATATTCATTAACAGACTTCATGAGGGTGGCCTGAGGGCCCGACGTCCTCTAGTGGGCCCTGTGCTCACTGCCCAGCACCATAGAGCTTGATTGGCATTTGCTATTGAACACCATAATTGGCAGGTCCACCACTGGTGCCCTGTGCTTTTCACAGATGAGAGCAGGTTCACCGTGAGTACATGTGACAGACATGAAAGGGTCTGGAGAAGCCGTGGAGAATGTTATGCTGCCTGTAACATCGTTCAGCATGACCGTTTTGGTGGTGGGTCAGTGATGGTCTGGGGAGGCATATTTATGGAGGGACGCACACACCTCTACAGGCTAGACAATGACATCCTGACTGCCATTAGGTATCGGGATGAAATCCTTGGACCCATTGTCAGACCCTACACTGGTGCAGTGGGTCCTGGGTTCCTCCTGGTGCAGGACAATGCCCAGCCTCATGTTGCGAGAGTATGCAGGCAGTTCCTGGAGGATGAAGGAATTGATACCATTGAATGGCCCCCACGCTCGCCTGACCTAAATCCAATAGAACACCTCTGGGATATCATGTTTCAGTCCATCCGACTCCACCAGGTTGTACCTCAGACTGTCCAGGAGCTGTGATACCTTGGTCCAGATCTGGGAGGAAATACCCCAGGACACCATCTGTCGTCTCATTAGGAGCATGCCCCAACATTGTCAGGCATCCATACAAGCATGTGGGGGCCATACAAACTACTATCATTTTGAGTTGCTGCAATGAAAGTTCAGCAAAATGGACTAGCCTGCTGCATCATTTTTTCACTTTGATTTTTGGGGTGTCTTTGAATTCACTCCTCTGTAGGTTGATAACTTTCATTTCCATCAAACAATGGGGCACATTACCCAGTACATATCAGTATACATATCCAGCATGGTAAGTTTCCCCCCTGAGATCTGATGTTTTACATTTTCTGAGCAGTGTACAAAGCTCACGTCATGTTTCATTAGGTTTAGTCTAACAGGGAGTACAGTTTTATGACTGAACTCCAGCAGCATGGTCCATACAGCACGTAACACACGCTCAAACAAGCCGCGCACTGCACGCTGCGTGACGTACAACGCTTTGCCCTTTCTGTTTCCAGCTAGAGCTAGTTCCGCCCGCGTATTCCACCAATCAGTGCACGGATCGCGGAAACATGGCGGCGCAGTAGTTTGAAGCCGAGTTAAAGTCTCTGTCTTGGGCAGTGTTACCGTTTTACCGGCAAGCTGCGTTTCCGGGGGGAGGGGTATGGCGAGCCGGAGGAGACAGGTCGCCGAGAAGGCTCGGCGGACGTGCGAGGAGGAGAAAAGAGAGAAGAGAGCCGGGCAGCTCTAACCGGGAGAACCCGGGCAGAAGCAAGAAACTGAGCCGGGGCCGTAAAGCTGCCTGCCTGTCCAGCCCGGCCTCCACCCCTGTAGCCTCCAGGAGTGAGAAGGAGGAGGGTATGGCGGCCTGTGGGCATACTGTGTACAGAGGGGGGTGCAGGCTCAGCTGGGACTGTGAGGCCTACACACAGCACCCCGCTCATTAGTGATGTGTCTGGAGACTGATTGACAACACACAGGAGATACTCCCCTCTTTCTTGCTGATGGGGATGCTATGGGCGTCATTGCCAGCGATGGAGCGACACACAGACCAGTATAATGATCCCGTAGCCAAAGACAACTCTTCACCGACAGGAGCGCTATACTGGACGAAGGAATGTTCATTTCTGTGCCGCTCCATCACTGGTGATGGTGATCTGAAGCTTTTGCAGCGGCATGAGAACCTGGAGAGTTGTCACCGGAGACGTGGTCACTAGTGATGAGCTCAGGTGTGGTCAGATCTCAGTCCAAACCTGGCAGAAAGCCGCCACCTGTACTGGGCCAATCGTAAGCAGCATAGGCATCCCTCGCCTCAGCACCACTACTTCTTGTATATGCACGGCTGCAGTGCAGGGAATGCACGGCTGCAGATGATTGGCACAGTGCAGTGACAGTTTACTGTTGCTTTCCAACTGGGATTTGAACATGCCTGAGCTCTTCATTATTCATCACCAGTTTGTTGAGGACTAAGGCTGACCCGTCTAGTGAGGGAGCCACTCCATAGCAACAGGTATGCAGTCACATAGGGATCCTGTTGCTGGTGAGTTTTTCGCAGTGACAGGCTCACTCCTGTGACATGGCTCTTAGGCTGCATTCACACTACGAGGCCAGAATCACTACCATCCTGCCCACAATTCTAAGTTGTGCAAAATCGCATCATGTGTGTTTGGATGCCATGCATTTCTAATGGCACCTCACAGTGCAATTTAGCAGTTTAGAAAGGTTCTGGAGTTTCTTTTGGGTTACGCACTGCATTTTGGCACGATTCTGTTGCTGCAAAATCGCACCACATTGAGGTGCCTTTAGAAATGAATGGCACCCAAACATTGTGGTGTGTTGTGCCACTTTTGCAGTGCAGTTTGGAATCTAGGGCAGAATCTCTGTGATTTAACCACTTGCCTACCGGGCATTTATACCTCCTTCCTTACCAGGCCAATTTTCAGCTTTCAGCGCTGTTGCACTTTGAATAACAATTGTGCGGTCATGCAACATTGTACTCCTATGATATTTTTATCATTTTTTTTCTCACAAATAGAGCTTTCTTTCGGTTGTATTTACTTGCCTCTGGGTGTTTTATTTTTTGTGCTATAAACAAAAAAAGAGCAAAAAAAAAAAAAAAAAAAGTTTTTGTTTCTATTATAAAATTTTGCAAACAGGTAATTTTTCCCCTTCACTAATGTGTGTTTATGAGGCGCCACGGATAGGCGGGACTGATGAGCACTGACTGCTGGGCACTTGTGGGCGGAACTGGTGTGTGGCACTGCTGGGCACCGATCATCTGGGCATTGATCATCAGTGTCCGGATGATTGGTGCCGGTCCCTGCTCTGACAACTGCCGGTTCTTGGCAGTACTTTCCTCACACCCTGACAGCATTTCCCGGTGATCAGCGTGTCATTGGACATGGCTGATCACGTGGTAAAAGGCCGCTGTGATTGGCCTTTTACCACATCATGTGATCAGCTGTGTCCGTAGGACACAGCGATCACGGAGATCGCCAGGGGCGCGCAGGAGAGTGTATATGACGGCCTCCCAGAACTGGACGGCCGCAGTGCAGCCATCATTCGACTACCTGCAGTCGGCAACTAGTTCAAGTGCAAATGCAGCCAAAGGACCATGTCACAGGAGCTAGCCTGTCACTGGAAACAGGATCTGTAAGGGGCTGCATACTTGTTGCAATGAAGTCACTCCTTTACTAGCTGGGTCAGCGAGATGACACTCCCTCACTAGCAGGGGAATTCACCAAAGTATAGGCTCGGTAAGGGAACGATTCCACAGAGTTAAGTGGAAGCCTCTCATCGGTCATTCATCCTTGTCACATACATGGTGCTTAAAGCTGTATCAAACTTTCCCTATGCAAAAAATAAAAATATTCTCCCTGCAAAGTAAAATCATAATGTGCTTGAATGCATCACATACTAGCACATTATGAGAGACTTGCCTTAAAACGAAGCCCTCCAGTGGCATGATGTCACCATTGACAGGGCTTCCATCTTCACTTCCGGGTTAGTATTCTCCGGCCATGTGAATGGCCGAGCCCTGATAACATCACTCCTGTACATGCGCAAAGGATTCACGGCCAATGCACAGAGCTCTGAAGAGATGGCATGAGTATGCTGTCCCTTCAGAGTGCATGCGGCAATGATGTCACTGGTTGCTGCTCAGTGGAATATCTCTGAAACTGCACGTTTAGGAGATATTTATTTTACCTACAGGTAGGCTTTATTATAAGCTTACCAGTAGGTAAAACTATCATAAGAGTTTACTGCCACTTTAAAGCCTAAGTTTTATCTAAAAACAGAAACCTCAGCACAAGGGAAATATTTTATAGTCAGTAGGATGTGTCGCTTGTGCTGATTCTTTTTCTGGTTGTAGAAATCTTCATACATTCATGTCCCCCACTCTCGCTGTTATAATCTTTTGTGGGAGTAATAGAAGCTGTCAAATTTTCTCATCAAGAGAGCCTGACTGTTCCTGCACTTTCTGCATCAGCTGCTCCATTCATAAAAGCTATACTACAGCTTCTATGAATGAAACAAAATCTATGAATGGTGGACGGTCAGATGATTGATATCTTTGCTTCCTCCATTGATAGAGCCAGTTTGATTTACAGAAGCTGTAGTACGGCTTCTATGAATGGAGCAGCAAGGAGGGCATAGTTGGGCTGTCCTGATGAAAGCCAGTAGTTGTTTTAACTGGAAGATTGAGGAGGGGGTGAGGTATGAAAGAGGATTTCTACTAAAAGAAGATGAATCATCACAAGGGACACATTCTACTGACTATAAATTATATCCCTTGTGCTGAGTTTTATTTTAGCTACACTTAGGTTTTAAAGTAGACCTATTGGGCAAATTCATTTTGGATAGAGCAAGGGAGGGCTATATCCCGTCAGTTTATATTTTGCCATCTGTGGCCCATTGGGGCGATTCACCTTCACTTCCTGTCCCATAGCCAAGCAGGAAGTGAGATGAAATCCTTGCAAATTAAGGGAATTCTTTGGGGACCCCCAGGTCACCAGAACTGGTGCCCCCGTTTGAAAAAGTCCACTTTATTACTTTTCTACAAACAACCCAAGTAGCTCCCAGTTGTCCTCCTTTGGAACCTGATCTCTTTGCCTCTTTCCTCAGTTGTCCCTTTTTTTAGCCCAAAGGAAAAAAACTCTATAAATAAAAACTCAGTTATATCAAAAGATCGGAGGTGTGATCGCTAAGTGCAGTCATGAGCCACATTTGGTAATGGGAAGGGGTAGAGATGTGTACCTTTTTAGAGTTGCCATATCTTGTGGAAGAAAATAGCAATTGACAAGGTTGTCCAACCCATTAATGGTTATTTCACCCCTGAGATTCATTGATAGTGGTGCATAACACAAGCAAACAAGTTGCCTCTAGTGATGGATATCCTCTACCTGGATCAGTGCTGTTTACTGTACAAAAAATAGCTTCACTGATGGCGGATAGTACACACAACACTCTTCCAGCGCTGTGACTGAGCGTTCTTGTTTTCATACAGCAAAGGACCCGCTGTGTGTAGTGTCTGGCATCAGTAAAGGTATGATTGACGTCATCATTTGAGATGCCTTATTTAATTTGTGGTGTTTCCCCAATTTTTTTTTTCTTCCCCCTTGTTCAGCTTTAAGTCAGAAGGTCAACATGTGACTGCAAGGTAACTAGTGTTTTCAGGTCGTCGGCAGTGGCAGTTCAGTTTGTTCTTTCTTGACGTGGGTCTTTTGTCTTCCAGCTAACAAAAATAAACAACATGGTGAAACATTTTCAGCATTATGAAAAAGTCATCATACCTGTCCCACTACCCATGCCACCATTTGTCTTTGTACTGAATTGATATTTAAATACAATAAAAAAAATGTAGCGCTACTCCTTTAGGTACATACACACACACATATATATAATACATTAATTAGTGATGTGTAAACTCAAAATTAAATCAAAGAAAAAATTTGTGATAGTGATATCAATTAAAATTAATTGGTGCCCATTACTCATTAGATCTACAAAGTTAAATCAGGTGACTTAAAACCTGTGAAAAAAACATTTTCATATATATATATATATATATATATAATTCTGTGAATATAAAACCACACGTGCCTCTCGTGTAGTGAAAAAAAAAAACAGAATATAACAGTAAATAGAACAGTGCTCTCAAAGTCCAATGAATGCTGATAGTGACCAAAGAACAAAAAAAACACTCGTGCTTCCAATAACTACTGATGGTGACCATAGATGCTGCAACTTGCCTGGAGAGGAGCCATTGGTGGAGTACTAATTTCTGAGAGATTTGGGTGCGACAAGGAGCAACATTTGGAGTGATAGTTATCTTGGAGGATCCGTGAGGGGATCCACTAAAACGCTTTGATCCGCAAGGGTCGAAGTGATGAGGTGAGAGGCTTATCCAGATGGTGGTCAGATTGTCATATTCACATGCACCCAAATATCTACACGAGTTCCTGTTAATCTATGGTCACCATCAGTAGTTATTGGAAGCACGAGTGTTTTTTTGTTCTTTGGTCACTATCAGCATTCATTGGACTTTGAGAGCACTGTTCTATTTACTGTTATATTGGGGTTTTTTCACTACACGAGAGGCACGTGTGGTTTTATATTCACAGAATTATATATATATATATATATATATATATATATATATATATATATGAAAATGTTTTTTCACATGTTTTAAGTCACCTGATTTAACTTTGTAGATCTAATGAGTAATGGGCACCAATTAATTTTAATTGATATCACATACATTTTTTCTTTGATTTAATTTGATGTAATTTTGAGTTTACACATCACTAATTAATGTATTATATATGTGTGTGTATGTACCTAAAGGAGTAGCGCTACATTTTTTATTGTATTTCTTTATCACAATCACTGGTATATGATTTAATATTAGCAGCTTCTCCTGGTGTTTTTTATATAGTTGAAACACTTGGGAGCGCAGGAGGTTCACACCACTATTGACTCAATTGATATTGCTGTTGACAAAGCTTGCAGCACTCCTAGTTGTGTTGGATTTCTGACCTCTGCTGCACTCCATTCTTTCCACTGGCCTGCATTCCACCATTGTGTTGCAGTGACAAGGGGTTACTGGGAGGAACCACAAAGCACAGATTGGTACCAGGCTTCTGATGTTCCTGGATGTGTTAGATGCTAAAAATTCTTCAGGCAGTGGTATCTCTCAGAGAAGAATGGTGGGACATATAGAAGGACTATTATGATATTAAAAGGCTTGATTTCCATACAACTTTTTTTTTTTTCCAATGTGTCCTGGTGACGAGATATTTTTAAAGCAACGCTTTGCCCATGCAGGTCTGCCCCTTCCCCTCAGCAGCATATACTCGTCTTTCCTTCACTCCTCCACCAATCCATTTGGCACATTAGTACTTCTGAGTAATGAGGAGCATGTGATGTACTCAGTGACAGTGCTGTTACATGGCGAGAGACCACATCGCTGCATAAGCTTTCACTAGAGTGATGTGGTGCTTATGCAGGGTTGCTTCTCATGCTCCTGCCATCTATGGGGTTATTAATTTGAACATGTTGCTTTGCCCTGCAATTTTGTGTTTGTTTTCCTGCACCCATTTTATATATTTTTTTTTATTTGTGAATCCTTCAGAACAGAACAAGAAGACGCCACGATTGCGGTCTAGGTGCAAACCATGGGACATTAATTCTCCTTCCAGAGATACAGAGCAACATCATGAAATATTTTGGGATCCCAATTCACCGACTTGTTTTAAATTGGGTATTGCTATGTTAATAATTTTTCTTTGATTAGTTCGGTAACTGTTTCAAAGAATGACCTACTTATTTTGGCAACACTGCTGTGCATAGAGTTTGTAAATATTCAGTAAATTACTAAAGCCTGTTCATGCCGCGTTCAGTTTAATTCATTGCATAATGGATTTGGCCTTATACGCCAGTTCAGAAAAAGTAATCATTGCAACATGAGCATTGGGTGGATAGATGTTGATTCCATGGCCTTGTGCGCACTGGACATTTTTACAACTGCTCCTATGGATATCAGGCGTTTTTTTTTTTTTTTTTTTTTTTTCTCTTCTAAACTCCCCTGCATGTTAGCCTATGTGTCCATGCACACATAGGCTTTTAGTAGCATTTAGTGCCAGAGAGTTTAGAGACTGGAAAAAAAAAACTCACTGCCAAAGCTCCCAGGAGCAGCATGTTAACTTAGGCATGTTTAGCACATGAGCGTTAATGCATTTCAAAGGCCAGAATTATTTTTTTTTTTATTCTGGCCAATTAAATCATTTAATGCTAAAGTGCTTGATTCATGTAAACGCACCTAAACACTTGTAAAAGTGTTACACTTTTACAAACCAAGTTTTTTTTTTTTTTTTTGCAAAAATGCTGCTGACTTCTAGGAGAGTTAAAAAAAACAATGCTTGGTTATTGTCCTTTTTCAAGGGAGTGGACATTGAGGGGCATTCAGTCAAGTAATAAGAACTTATTTCTGGTGATATGACCCCTTTAACATGGTCTACACCTAATTCATGAAAGTTGTGTGTCAGCTTTGCTAACAGTACCAACGTATGGTTCCCACATTTCTTGCTACTTGCACTTTTAGAATATGTTGCTATCTACAACAGATTTTAAAAGAATTACGGATATGCAAACTGGCATTATTTAAGACCAACTGTAAGTGTTCAGGATTGGACATATGTGCTGTGTGCATTAATGACTGCTTCCTGCTCAGGGCTTGTGGAATGCTAGGACGCCAGTAGCCATCGGCTTCCTAGTTCACTCATCCATGGGCCTATTCAGTTGCTGGCATGGAGATTCCTGTGCTGATGGAAAGCAGTATGGTTGGCAGCTCTGCTCCTAGTCTGCTAATAGCCAGAAATTGAAGTTGCATGGGAGAGAGGGTATGTGTAGAAGAGATAGTGCTGTACAAACTTTGTCTGGAGGCAGTGGAGACAGCAGGGCATGGAGCTGGAGATACGTAGGAGCATAGCTCAGGGATGTGGATTTCTCTCTCATCTCCCTAGGTTCTTCTACAGGAAGTGTCTTGCATAGTATTGGGGAGACCGAGCACAGCAGCATATAATGCTGGCTGACATTATTGTCCAGGTATGGCCATAGCCATATTTGGGTAATTACATGAGCCAGAATTCCCACCCTTTGTTTATGTTCAGCGATTGGCTGGGGACTCTACCAGCCCGCAGCTGAAGGCTGGGAATAAAACACACTTCCTATGGGGGCCCACCTCCATGCTCATTCCTAAACCCTGCTGTCTGTGTCTGTAGACACAGACAGAAAGCTCACTTAGTACAGCCACATAAAATATGTGGTTTCTGGGGGTTTAGATCATAAACCTAAGCATAATTTGCATCCTTTACTCCCTCTTATCCCCAGTCTGGACAACTGGACTTGTCATTTACTGATGGTGTCCTTCTATATTTTTCCCAGACAATGGAAAGAAACAGACTTCAAGCAAATGTACTGTTGAGATTTCAGATATTGTTAAAAGAATTGCACCCAAGGTAACGCGGCGCATGTAATTTATAACCTCCAAACCATGCCTTAATATTGGTTGGAAAAAGCCAATAGGATATGTGTTTCTGTAGTAAAAATGTTTAAAGTACAGCTGTCATGAGACATGGGGACTTTTGTTGTTGGGCTGTGTCTAACTTTAATAGGACAGAGCCTCTGACCTGTGACAATGCAAAGCATCATCAGGACATCCTGATAACTGGCATTTTGATAAATGACAAAAATCAGAAATGGCAGCCTATGTATTTCTTTCATTAAAGATTATTTTAAGGGCATATTCATATATTAATTTTGTTTTGACAAGTGAACTGTGGTGTGTTGCAGTGCCATTCATTTAGAATTAGTTTTTTGTTTTATGTTACATCATTGATTTTTGCCATTACTGCCAACTGTGGTAGTGCATACCAAAGCTTGAAGCTGATTTTCAGCAGCTAAATACACATAATAATACAGGGTGTCCCTAAAGTCTGGACACAGAGACAAAAATAACAATAAATGTCAATACATTTTTCAACATTTTATTTAATTGGAATAGTAATAACATCTTCAATGTGATTTCCACCATTTGTGATGCAAAATTCCATACGCTTTGCAATTGTCACATGAACCCAATGCAGTCATTACATATTTCCATAATTTTGAGCACATTTCTTCATGATGTGTTCCTTCAGGTGATTAATTTCTGTGATTTTTTTTTTTTTTTTTTTTTTTTTTTTTTTTTTTTTTTTTTGCGTACACCTCATTTAGCAAACCCCAAAAAAGAAAAAAAAATGTTCACACATATTGATATTTCCTATGTGTCCAGACAGGGACACCCTGTAGAGTTGTTTTACCTTCCAAAGTACTTGTATTGCTGTCTTCTGTTCTTGTCTTGTCACACATCAATTCCAGCTTGCAGACCTAACTTTTTTTTCTGCTGGAGATAGAGCAGAACTATACCCACCTAAACAACATCACCTCCCTCTTCCACAAATGCTAACAATGTGTGTATGTATGGTGTGTGTGTGTATATACACACAAATATACATAGATAGATATCTCACAAACACACAGTGCTCAGTATAAATGAGTACACCCCTTTTGAAAAGTAAGATTTTAATCAATATCTCAATCAACACAAGAATCAGGATGAAATCCTTGGACCCATTGTCAGACTCTATGCTGGTGCAGTGGCTACTGGGTTCCTTCTGGTGCATGGCAATGCCCGGTCTCATGTGGCGAGAGTATGCAGCCAGTTCCTGGAGGATGAAAGAATTGATACCATTGAATGGCCCCCACGCTCATCTGACCTAAATCCAATAGTGCACCTCTGGGATATCATGTTTCAGTCCATCTGACACCACCGGGTTGCACCTCAAGACTGTCCAGGAGCTCAGTGATGCTCTAGTCCAGATCTGGTAGCTAATACCCCAGGACATCATCCGCATCTCATTAGGAGCATGCCCTGATGTCAGACATGCATACAAGTGTATGGGGGCCATTCAAACTACTGAGTACCATTTTGAGCTGCTGCAATGAAATTTCAGCAAAATGGACTCGCCTGCTGCATAATTTTTTCACTTTGATTTTCAGGATCTCTTTGAATTCAGTCCTCTGTAGGGTGATAATTTACATTTACATCAAACGATGGGGCATTCTCACGTTCCTAAAACATTACCCAGTCCATATCAGTATAGATATCCAGCATGATATTTTTCTGATGTGTTTTCAAAGTGTTCCTTTAATTTTTTTGAGCAGTGTATTTTTTTTTATTTTTTAATTGAATTTTGTATCACTTTTGGGTTTCCGGCCTAGTTTGGGCTCACTTCCTCCTGGAACTGCTACAGCACAGATATTCCAGGAGGCAGTGTGTTGGCCCCAATGTATGAATGCCAGCTCCCAAATTCCTGAAAGACACTGGTGGAGCATCTGTGCACGTACTGTTTTTTTTTTTGGTTTTTTTTTTTTTTTTTTTTTTTTTTTTTTTTTTTTTGTTTTAAATGGCAGTGTGGAACAGGCAGGTGGAGGTAGATTGGCAGTGGTTTAGTTCTTCTTTAAGTACTAGGCTCTTCTTCCTGCTTCAGTAGGTTTTCAGGGACTGTGGATGAAATGTCCACAAAATAATATAAAAAATATCTCTTCCAGGAAAAAAAGGCCCCGGATTCTGATGCTTCCTACTTCGGTGTATGGATAGGAGATGATGCAATCCCCTGTACTCCAGTAGTAACCCGAACTAGAACTAAATTGCATAGGTAAGGCTTTCTTTTTCATTTTTTGTTTTGTTTTCCAGAAAAAGTAAAAACATGTCAGCAGTCACAGGTAGAAAAAGACAATACATATTTCAAAATACTTCTTGGTCCCTAAGTAAACACTAGTTTAAAAGGATCATGTGAGTATATTAATAACTGTCCCTACTGTGAAAACATTTTCTGAGAAATAACACCCAGAGTTTATAGGCGGTGCATTTGAGTAAGGTTTTAGAAATTGAGTTAGGAGAGTGTAATCAAGTATTTGACTATATTGAGTGTCTTGTAGGCCTAGGAGAGAGAATGCCTCCTTTCTTAAGAGATCCCACTGTCTCAACTTGGTGTATAGAGTCATTGGCCCCTTATTAAAATTATATGAATGGGACAGAGAACGCTTGGGAAGGCCAAAAGTATGTAATAGGGTAATGCATGGGTAAGTCTTATTTGCATGTTTATAAAAGTAGTTGAATCACTTTTGGATTTCCGGCCTCAATCAGGCCAAATGTCGTTGGTCCTCCAAAACATTTGGTCTTTGTGAGTAGTCGAGAAAAGGAAACGGTGGTGGTGTTGGTGTGTGCAATGCATGAGGTGGGTGGGTTGGCGACTCCAATGGAGGAGGTGAAAGTGACAGATAAACATTCTGTAGTGTTATTCCTAACACCACTAGTACAATGATCTGCCATTAGAGCCCCAAGAATTACATCCAGATGTAAGGAACACATAACATTCTGCATACAATACAGCTCTTGTGGCCAGTTACTAATCCCAAACACAAGTGATTCTGAAGGTTCTGCCTGCAGGGTAGTGTCAAAAATGTTAGATCCACAGTTAACGTTATAGAAGTCTTCCAGTAAACTTTAGAAATAGCTATGCTCCACTGTTTGTCCTTTTAAAGGATAAGTATGGTCAAAGCTATTTTAGCCCACTGTGGGTTAAAAATGGGTCACAGGAGTGCAGAACGAACTGCTTCAGCTGAAGTCACAGCGCTAGTCCAGGCTCTGGAAAGTTCCTGACAATATGGTCGGGATCTGCCAAAATGCTTGACTGGCAGCTGGCTCAGCCTCCCGGCTGTTCTGCTGGGAGACTGAGCAAGCCACTCCCTCCCCAGCTTGGCGCTCCAGTGAGCGCTTAAGGGCCAGAGCAGAGAGGCGGTGACTGACAGACACTGCTGTCTCCTCAGTGGAGGGGAGAACTGTGCAATCAGCTGTGTTTGATTGCACAGTTCTCTGGAGAGCCGGCAGGGGACACATGCAGCATCAGATCTATGGTAAGTATACTTTTTTTTTTTTTTAACCCTGTACTTCTGTTTTTATTGGTATGGACAGCCTCATTTACTAGTCTGGAGGTGACATTGGGCAGCATCGAAGAGTTCCCGTATTTGTGCATTTTAACCTAGATATACTTCTTCTGGTTTGTGGCAGATTTATTATGTGTGACCATATTCATTTTAACCAAAGAACTGGATTTGTGAGCTTATTTTTCCCATTTTTGATTTTACTGTTACAGATCTAGAATTCTGAAAACAGAAGAACAGCTCATGGAATTGGCAAAGCAGTTAGACAGGAATTTGGTTGAACATAAAGTCCAGAATGATGATTCCTTGATAGAAAACGGAAAGAAAGTTGTTACTGACGGTTGTGCTAAGGAGGATGATGATGACTTGTCCTTGGAGTACATCCCTGCAGAAGATGAAGTATCTCTAGCATTGAAATCTGTTAGCCAAAGCTCAGGAGTAGCAGTAGTAACGAGCAGTCAGAAGTCTGTGGACCAGGAGGCTGAAGAAGCACTTAATGCTCTATTTGATTGTTCTACACAGAAATTCAGTGGACGGTTAAGCCAAACTTTGTCACATGTTTCCACAAGCAGTATTCAAGAGTGTATTTCGGACACAGGGAAAAATCACCTACTGGTAGAATGTACAGTTCCACCTGAAAGCAGTAAAAGTTCGGATAATTTTCCTTTCATTTCAAAAGTACATTCAGATATGCTGCAGTGCGAAAAAAAATCTAAGCAAGCTATGCCTATTGGAAAGGAACCCGTTCAGTCCTTGGATATGGCTCATTCAGCATCAAATAGCCAGGATGACTTTGAAGATGACTGGGGAGAAGACATTCTTGAAGACGATTCTTTTGCTATGCAGATTACTCAAAATCCTGACTTGATTGCTACTCCAAAAAGTAACTTATGTTCGAAAACACCAAAAGGTGCTAATTTAGATACTGTAAGAGGGAAAGAAGGTTCTGTCTGCACAGCTAAGGTCATTACCTCTAATAAGCCAAATAATTTTAAATTTGTACCCCGGAAGGTAAATGAAGATGGGGGGAGTAAAATGAAAACCCCTGACCTAAAGAGAACTGAAACTTCAAATGTGAGGAGAATAGAAGACAGTACAAGAGACAGAGCAATTACTAGTGCTCCTCTTATAGGGTCATTGGAGGCACAGGTTACAAAACAAAACACCTCTGCCCCAAAATCTTCTACAAATCCTTCCTCTAACTTTGGAGTATCCAAAACGTACACCTTTTCATCAAAGCCCTTAAACTCTAGAAAAGAAAAGGATGAACTAACCAAAACGGGTATCCAAGCTGTACAAAACACCCATGCTGGCTCTAAAAACAAGGACTCTGTTTATGCTGATGAATGGGATGATCCTAAGTTTTCTGATGAAGTCTTAGATATGTTCTGTGAATCTGACAGTCTGTGGGAAGATCAGGACAATGATGATGACCTATTGTATCAAGTCTGTGATGATATGGAAAGGTTAACTCAGGTTCAAGCATCTGAGGGAAATCACGTTTTCACCAAGAGTGTTGTCACAAATAATAAAGCTGAAACCCATGTTACCACAAACTATTCTTATGCTTCAAATAAATCCAGTGGGTGTGCGTTAAGTTCTAATAAAATAACTGCCAAAGGTGTTTCTCCTGCATCTGTGAGTGGAAACTGCTCAAATTCCCTTCAAAACAGCTCCATGCAAAGGACAAACCAGGCTTCTGTGACATTCAACCGGTCAAACTCTATGCCTTCTGCGACAGAGTCTAAAAAGTATGAGCCTCAATCACAAAGTGTAAAGAATCCACAATCCACCACAAACAATGCAAGAACTTCTCAAGCACCCGCAAAGTACTCTTTTACAAGAACTAAGCCTTCTCAAGCACTGTCTGCCCACACGAATAACTCTCTTCCTGGAAACGAGAGCAGTTCTAAAGTGACTCAGAGTTATGGTGATAGTAATAAAAGAAATCCCTGTTTGCAATCACAAGTGCTTTCTGGTCAGCAGTTGGCATTAAAACGGCACCTTTCTGAATCGACTATACAACCATCAAAAGGTATGTGAATTACTGGTAGGGCTCATGCACTCTTTTCAGTTAGGCCCAGATCAAGAGGCTCTGGCTTTTAGGTGTGAGTGAAAGGTACAGGCGCACTATCCAGCCCTGGTGGTAGCAGCCTTTTAAACCTTTATTAGAGGTTGACAGCTGCTGCGGCTAGATGGGGCTGGATGGTGCACCAAGCAGTACTGAAGTTTAGTGTGGTATGTGCCCAGAGCCAAATGCTCAGAATACAGGATGCTTGCATTCCATGCATTCGTCCACTTAGTGCCTCGTTCAGCCGTAGCAACTGTCAGCCTCTTATAGAGTGTGACACTGCAGACAGCAGGGCTGGATTGTGCGTCTGTACCTTCTGCCCACTCCTAAACTCTGCAGCCTCATGTATTGGGGGGCTACATGCCCAGTGTGCAGAAGGCCTTACAGCAATTCTTTAAAGGATAAGTTCACCTTTTAACCAAAAATAATAAATTCACATTTTTTTTGCAGGTAAAAAGAAATGTGCATTTATTAATTTTGGTTGCAAGAGCCCATAAACCATTGCACCAGCGATCAGCATTTCGCTTGCGCCATGCAGTTCTCCTGCAGATCTCTCACTATTCTTTACTTGCCCACATGGGATGTACTATTAAGCAGATATACTGACAGGAAGAATCCGTGAACTACCACGGCGCTCCACAGCACGTGGCAATTCGTTGAGAGCTACAAGTCAACAGCTTCTATGATTGACAGGGCTTGTAGTAGTACATAAATTCATAGAACTCTGTGAATGAATGACGCGGCCGTATGGGCCTTTACTGCTGTCATGGGGAGGGGGGGCAGTGATCGGGCAGCCATTGTAGCATTGGGAGCATGTTACAGGTTCCACCATAAAAATGGGTGGAACCTGTAACATGTTCCCAAAGGTGAACTTATCCTTTTAAGGACTGCTGCGAAGTCCAAGCTGGAGTAGCAGTCTGCTGTATAGAGACTTGGTGTGTTCCCCACTTGTATTGTTGCTACTGTATAAGTCAGATTGTTCAGTCTTGTCTCTTCACCCTTTCCTCCATCTCAGATTTTGACTTCTCAATGTTTTTAAAGCAGGGAATTGATGGTTATTTATACACTGATCAAAAAAATTAAAGGAACACTTTGAAAACATATCAGATTTCAATGGGAAAAAATATCATGCTGGATATCTACACTGATATCGACTGGGTAATGTGTTAGGAACGCAAGGATGCTCCATTGTTTGATGGAAATGAAAATTATCAACCTACAGAGCACTGAATTTAAAGACACCCTGAACATCAAAGTGAAAAAATGTTGCAGCAGGCTAGTTCATTTTGCTGAAATTTCATTGCAGCAACTTGGTAATTTGTATGGCCCCCACATTCGTACATGCATGCTTGACCATGTCGGGGCATGCTCCTAATGAGATGACGGATGGTGTCCTGGGGTATTTCCTCCCAGATCTGGACTAGAGCATCACTGAGCTCCTGGACAGTCTGAGGTGTAACCTGACGGCGTCAGTAGGACTGAAACATAATATCCCAGAGGCATTGTATTGGGTTTAGGTCAGGTGAGCGTGGGGGACATTCAATGGTATCAATTCCTTCATCCTCCAGGAACTGCCTCCATACTCGCGCCACATGAGGCCGGGCATTGTTGTGCACCAGAAGGAACCCAGGAGCCACTGCACCAGCGTAGGGTCTGACAATGGGTCCAAGGATTTCATCCTGATACCTAATGGCAGTCAGGGTGTCATTGTCTAGCCTGTAGAGGTCTGTGCGTCCCTCCACGGATATGCCTCCCCAGACCATCACTGACCCACCACCAGAATGATCATGCTGAATAATGCTTCTCTAGACCCTTTCACGTCTGTCACTTGTGCTCAGAGTGAACCTGAGTCCAGGTATCGCCTCATGCTACCAATAGTGACACTGACCCTACCCAAATGCAAAACTAGTAAAAAAAACAGGCAGAAAATGTCAGTGACCTCCACCTGTACAACCTTTCCTGTTTTGGGGGTCTTCTCATTGTTGCCCAATCTAGTGTGCCTGTTGTTAAGTAAATTAACACCAAAGCAGTTGAATCTAATTAACAACCCCCTCTGCTACTGAACTGACCAGATCAATATACCAGGAGTTTAATTGACTTGATGCTATACTCTGATTGAAAAGTGTTCCTTTCATTTTTTTGAGCAGTGTATTTTGCTCAAACAGCAGACTGAGGTGGATTTGACATTATATTCTGACAGCGTGTCCTACTGCTATCCTAATGCACTGATCAGCAGCTGCAGCCGCTAATCGAGAGAGGTTTTCCTTCGACAAAAGTCGGTCAAACGATCAACTTCTGTCAATCACGGATAGCCAAACACTGATAGAAATGTAGGTGGTTCCTGCTGAACTGGTCAAATTTTGATCCATGTATGGGCCAGCTCAAGTCTAACACAATAGTGTAATTATCCCTTGTTGCCTGAATTCTATAGTGGAGTGATTATTTTCTGGTTTGTATGGGACATAGCCATGATTCTAGTAAGGAGCAAAAGAAGCAGATCTGTAAGTGGTCGGTATAATGTAACCTTTTGTTCTCCTTACAGTGAACCGGTCCTATTCTGATTCTTTTTATAGCCTGTTTTTTTTTTTTTCTTCTACAAATTCTTACCATCCCTTGCTTTCTTGATGTCACATTTGCCCTTCAGAGCCTCAAGTAGGAAGTCCATGTATTGAGATGTAGCAGTTTGTGATACACGATTCACCTGTATGTTTCCCACCAGGTGAAATCAAATCATTTTTCTTTTGTATATTGAATATTCTTGCTAATTAAGCATTTAAATATAACCCTTAATTTGGGGGGAAATGGTTATAATTGTCCTAAAGTCACTTTTAAAATGTTATTAATAAGATTTCCATTAACTTCTGTGATTTTTTTTTTTTTTTTTTTTTTTTTTCCCCCCCCAGCTGTCCCATCTACAAATTTCTTTAATGCATATTTGCAATGGACCTTAATTTGTAGTCAGGATTTCTCTGTTACTGTAATTGGCTTAATACCCCCCTCCCAGCACTGTGCATAGTGGCTGAGATCATGTGAAATTTAGTTTGAGATGAAGTATGGTTTCCCTGTCATCTACTTATTTGTTTTTATCCTGTGAAGATCCTAGTGCCACCAAAATTAAATAAACTGACTTCTAAAGTTAAAATGGAAGGCATGTCAAAACCTAACTAAACTTAAATCTATTCCCACCCCCATTCTAAGCCTATTCTATCTACCCTGCAAAAAGGAAAGATACCTATACTTTATTCTGAAATTGTTCTGGTTCAGTCACATCTCTCCAGTGCTGGCTTCAGTGAAGAGGAGAGACCGCTGACAACGGCTGCAGAGCCGGGTTGATGGCATCATCCATAGGTTTACTACGGGTTCATTCATGTCGGGTGTCCCTCCACTACACTGAAGCCGGCGCTGGGACCTGATCATGTCACCAGAGCGACTTCAGATCAAGTAAGCACAGTCACCTTTTCTTTTACAGGGTAGATAAAATAGGCTTAGAATTGGGGTGGGAGTAAATATAAGCTTAGTAAGGTTTTGGCTTGCCTTCCACTTTAAATGGTAACTTTTTTTGTTAACTTATTTAGTTGCTACATCCTTCTTTTTTTTTTTTTTTTTTTTTTTTTAAGTTTTTAGTTCTAAAAATGTTTCTAGTTAAAGTGTTACTTAGCCCAGGACTCTGCATTCGCTATATCTGGTTTCCCACAGTACACAGAACATGGAAATGCAATTATTTTAGTAAATATACACTGCTAAATGCCTTTTCTCATCATCAGTCTTGTGACTTCGATCAGTGTCCAGCAGAGCACTGGTTAAAGCTTGTAGAAGGAGTTTTCATTCTCCCCTGACTATCCTTTGAGGCTGCAGGACCCCTGCCCTCTGTCTGGACAGTGCTGATTGGCATGTACTGATCACATGCACCCTCCCAAGAAAAAAAAAAAAAACACTCTAATAATACACACCAAACTGAGCATGTGCCACTTTCCCCCAAGGCTGTGTTCTGTCAGCAGATGGATTACAGACTTTGGAAGAAGGGGTCGGATCAGAGAAGACAGGATCAAGCAGCCTTTTTACACAATGCAGAGGATTAACCCCTTAGGTTCCACAACGAGTATAACAAGCATGCTTTACTGCATATACAGACTGATTTTACTGTTGTGGGTTTAGTAACACTTTAAATCTGAAGCCAGCTCAGTTTTTCTAAAACTGACAAAATAAAGATTATGGAGGATTTTCCTTTATGGGAGTGTAATGTACTCAGTTGGTGTAGAGAATTTGCCTAGAAATGTAATTTCATCTCATATAATTGGCTCAGTGCTATCCCCAGATGTAGGTTTTTTTTTGTTTTTTATTACAATGCTGATACCGGTCATGTGACTACAGTATAAACACAAAGACAATCCCATGTAGGCAGTAAGAGTTTCAATGTGTGAAATTCAAAAGAAATGGCAGTAGGTAGGACTCTGCAATGATGATTGCTGAAAGGTGTGCAAAGTACTGCTCACTGCGAAGGGGGGGGGGGGGGGGGCTGCACTTTGGAAGGTGAAGTTTGTTGGCTGTCTGAGCCAATCAGAGTTTACAGTGAATGTGTAAAAAACAAACTGATAGATATAAAATACAGCCAGCTAGGCCTACTTTTGTAGCTGTCATTCTCTTCCGCTAAAGCTGTCCAGCACTTCCTGGTAGTGACTGTCTGCCTGCCTTTGTAGGTGAATGAGAAATACTGTAGGCATGACTAGATGAGTCCTTTTCACATCTATTAGTAGCTTTTGTTTTGTTTTATATTTCACGTTTTCTCAACCTATGGAGGACTTTAGTATTTATGCTGTGCATTCTTTTTCTGTTCTAGTTTTTGTCTCAGAAGATACAAGTAAGAAGTGCTCAATGGAAGAGATTGAGCGGAAAAAAACAGGAAGCTTTGACTAGAAGAAAAATGAGAGAAAGAGGGTGTTCCAGTGACAATGCACCTACATAATGACCGAATAACATCCACTGTTAATCTTTCATAAAAACTAACTTTTTTTTGTTGGATGTTATAGTTTCTCTGTGAGAAAATACATAATTCACAGCAAACACTATATTGTTATAGTTTTTGTTTTATTATAAATGTTTACAATGTCAAACTTTTTTTGTATAAAATATCCTGTTATGATCAGGAATAAAAATCTGTGGATTTGTATTCATCATGCTTTCATAAAACACTGTATCGGAGTCTATTTCACTACACAACAAAGCTGAAAGTTGAAAATATTTATTCAAGTTTTTCTGAAAGCATTTTCATATGTGTTTTTGTTGGTGTTACATTTGCTTAATAAATATGTTTGTAACTAATTCTTTGAATATCTGATAATACCACATATGATTTGGTAATCTTCCACATCCTGATATGGCAACCTGGCCTGTTTAAAGACTTAAGGATAAGTTCACCTTTGGAACATGTTACATGTTCCACCTCTTTTTTAGGGTGCAACGTTTCCAGTATCTGCAGCCTCTCCCCCCTCCTTGTGACAGCAGGCAGGGGATCTTCTACCTGCACCTACTGTTACAAATTGAAAATACTGCAGCCTTATGTTTCCTCTGAATTAATTCCTATAAGTACCATCAGCCGTTGCAGCTGATGGCTTGTAGTCCCCAATCAACTATGAGGGCGCTGGTGAGTGCTCTGGTAGTTCATTGATCTTCCTGTTGTCAGGCCTGTTCAAGGTATGGGCAGACAGTTATGCTGAGAGTATGCAGGAGCCTGAGATTGCACCTGCAATTGGCTGATTGCAGGTGCTATGCTCTGAAGACTCCTTTGGAAATAGAATATAATAAATGCAAAAATGTACCGTACATCTATTATTTTTTTTTTTGCTGAAAAGGTAATTTATCCCCTATCTGGTCTTTTCACTGGTAAGTGTCACGTGCCTTCAGTTCATATGTATCCAGGGAGAATTTTCAGCAGCCATTCCCATCTTGTGTTACCAGCTCTCGGGGGTTCTCACTGTGTTAGAATGTTTGGCTCCTAAATGTGGTCGCTCTCCCTCCCCCCCTTCTGCCTATTTGTGGGATGATGAGGTGTTGGAGGATCATCCTTTTAAATGTGTGGAACATAAGGAAGCTGGTGAGGATCAAGACTCTTTTGAAGAATCCTCTCTGGAAGAGGCTCAGGGTCCTGGACTGCCACAGGCACAATGGACCACAGTTCTCCTAAATTAAGACTGAGAACTAATTTATAGGAGCCACTTCCAGAATCTACTTTGTTTGGCTCCTGGGAGCCATTAAAATGGAGTTCTTGCCTCCAAAGCAGTTTTCTTAACACGTCCCTATAGAGGAGTTCTTTAAACAATGGAGTTCTATAGCGATTGATTTTGCTATTTACTTCCTGAACAAGACTGTTGTCCCAGTGGACAAGGTTCTATTCTGTGATGATGCTTTGTATAAGAGGCTAGAAGCCCTCTTTAAGGTCTCTTTCTCTTTTGATAGGTGCAACTGGTAGTGGCAGTGGTGGGCATTTTGCAGCCCCTCAGGTTTGGGCAAAACGTATACTCCAATCCAGGGAATTTTATCTTGAGAATCCATTTGTTAGATGATTCTGATCCTGAGGATTCAGTTGGACAATATTTGGAAAAGTTCCTGAGAGCTTTACTCGGTGGACACCTTGGAAATCTTAGGCAACTCTATAGACTGGGGGTTATGTTTGTCCACATGAAGAAAATCCTGTTGCTTAAGTGCTGGTCTATTGAACTTCTTTATAAGAAGCAGAGCGGTGAGTGTGCCATCATTGAATGTGTTCATCCAAAAAAATGACTGTGGGAAAAAAAATCATGCTTTTCCCTGAAAAAGTAGGAAGAAACGACAAGTAAAAAGTAGGGACCTTCAACTGTCAAAACGCAGTCACATGCATCAGGCTGTAAGCTAAAGCCTACCCCAGATTTTGCAATAAGAGCTGGAACTCAAAGAGCTCCAAGTTCTCTTCCCAGTGAAGGGGTGCCCCTCACTATTGTGGGTGGGGGGATACTTGTTGGTCACAACATGCCTGGGTCCAAGGTGTGGTGGCAAGAGGCTACAAGCTGGGATTTTCATGCTTTCTGCTTCCCACTCTTTATGCGCTCAAATGTCTCTTTGGATTCTCAAAATTTATTTGCAGCATTGGATAGGTTGCTGTCTTTCTGTGTAATTGAACCAAAACAGGAAGGAGAGAAGAGCAGCTTCGATTCAAACCTTTTCACATTAGAAATGTGTCACATTTCCAAAGATAAAAAACATAACTGTTCTTAAATATAATAAAAAATTAAGCAAATGAATGTGAACGAAAAGTAGCTGACAAATAAAGGCAATATCACAAATTGTAAACTAAGTTTACATTTCCAAAGATATCCAGCCTATTCTAGACCTTTAAGAGGAACTACACTGTATCTGAGCACCACAAACCAAAAGCGCTTTTTAAATTTGATTTTATAATATTTAAATTCACCCATCTATCCATGTCTCCATGCCTTATTTTGCTGATAAATAGTTTTGAAGCCCACTCCCTACCATCTCTGGTTGTGGCTATCTTGGGTAAAGGGAGATGATTCATGTAGCATTTACTTCCTGGAATCCATCTGGCCTTAGCTCAGGCAGGAGGGCGTGTTTAGCTGAGAAATTGCTCCTGAAGAGTCTTGGAATGTACGACATAATTTGCCTAGGCATGGAAACTAGGCAGTAGCTAAAATGTAAAAAAGTTTAAAACAAATTTTAAATATATACTTTCCTACTTACTAATGCTAGCAGCATAAAGATTCACAATAGTCAATGTTGACTGAGAGAGTCGAGTTCCATTTTGAGGGTCTCAACAGTTGTTGCGAGTGGAGTCCACCTTGTCATTGTATTAGTTCAGCAGAGGGAATTCTTGGCCTCTGCGGAGTTTAGGGATGTCTACCTGCACATCCCTGTCTTTCAGCCTCACCAAATGTTTCTAAGGTTGGTGTGGACGATTGCCATTACCAGTTTGTGGTGTTGCTGTTCAGTCTGTCCACTGATCCCAGAGTGTTTACCAAGGTGTTGGCTCTGGTTCTGGGTTGTTGAGGGCACAGGGTATCCCCATAGGTGGGAAATCTGCCTTGGTACCCATGCAATGTCTGGAATACTTTGGTCTACTACTGGACACAGCTCACTCAAAGGTGTTCCTTCCACTGGGAAAACATCTTTCCCTCAGGTGGAGTCCCTGAGGTCTCTGAAAAACCCTTCAACCTCAATCTCCTTCTGTATGAGGATGAAGGTTTCCGCCTTTGATGTGGTTACATGTGATCAATTCCACTCAAGAATTGTAACTCAGTATTCTCAGCCTGGGACAAAAATCTACAGTCCACACCTATGTATTTGAATTCAAAGGCCAGTTTGGATCTGGAGTGGTAGATCTCTTGCTGGATGTGGGAAAATCCTTCCTTCCAATAGCTTGTTAGGTTATGCAACATAAAATTGGGAGTGCAGCACTATAAAAAATAAATACATATGGTGCATACAATCAGCCGGATATGAATCCTACGTAATAGAGTCCTATAAACTGAATGGTAAACAGTCCCAGATAATAAATATGACTTCAATCCAAACGCGTGTGTTCCAGTATCCCGACATGAAGGTATAGAAAGATTGCCCACTCGCCGGAAGCGCAATCTTTATGCGTGTATAGAGATCTCATGTAGCCGAAGGTCCTGTGAAAGTATAGCCTGGTAATCGGAGTATCCTCTGGTCTGGTCTAACACTCTTACTTCTCCAGCCTGAACAAGTACCTGGAATACTGGACTGAGGTGTGGAGGCTCAGTGCCAAGTAGTAAAGATAAAAGTGCTCATAGTGTAAGTATTGTAAAGGTTTATTTAGATAAAAGTTAATGAAGTAACAATATGAGCATAAATGCACAGGGTGATTGTGAGTAATAATAAGCTCCTAAATACACTGACCAGTGGAACCATGGGGTGGCCGCCAAACCTCCTGATCCCGCAGCGTGACGTCAAGGCGTGCAAGGGCTCCTCCTAGGTGCGTTTCGTGTAATGACACGTCTGCCATAGGGGTGATGCCAATGCCAATAGCATCAAGAGGTCCGGCGGCCACCCCATGGTTCCACTGGTCAGTGTATTTAGGAGCTTATTATTACTCACAATCATAAGTACCCTGTGCGTTTATGCTCATATTGTTACTTCATTAACTTTTATCTAAATAAACCTTTACAATACTACACTATGAGTACTTTTATCTTTACTACTTGGCACTGAGCCTCCACACCTCAGCCAAGTATTCCAGGTACCTGTCCAGGCTGGAGAAGTAAGAGTGTTAGACCAGACCATTACCCCTGGCACCTGCCATCTGAGCGACCACCAGAGGATACTCCCATTACCAGGCTATACTTTCACAGGACCTTTGGCTACATGAGATCTCTATACGTGCATTAAGATTGCGGTTCCGGCGAGTGGGCAATCTTTCTATACCTTCATGTCGGGATACTGGAACACACTTGTTTGGATTGAAGTCATATTTATTATATGGGACTGTTTACCATTCAGTTTATAGGACTCTATTACGTAGGATTCATATCCGGCTGATTGTATACACCATATGTATTTATTTTTTATAGCGCTGCACTCCCAATTTTATGTTGCATATACAAGAAAGGCTTTGTGGTTCCTTTTTAGTGCATTAGCTGCTTATACGGTGCGCTCGCTAGCTCACATACTTACAGCTTGTTAGGTTATGATGATGGATGCCAGCCTGTTAGGCTGGGGAGATGTTCGGGTGAATCTGTTGGTTCAAGGAATGTGGTTAGTGGAATAGACATTGGGTTAGATGTGTTAGTTCCATTGAGGTGTTTGCCACGTTGTGGATTTCTCTTTTATTTATCATTTACATTTTTTTCTGAGCACCAGCAGTATGGCTATACTCCTGGTGCTCTGGCAGGAGAGATATGACTGTTTTACACAATTACTTACATTACCACACTGCCCACCCCTCCTCTGTGA